TTTCTTTTAGTTTTAAGGCATATGCGGATTTTATAAGTCCGCAATGACGATATAACGTGTTTATAATAAAATAAAATAATAGCACAAAATATGATTTGCTCTCAACATACCCCTTCTTCCTGTACTTGTAGCTCTATTGCTGCATTTGTCTACTTTTTCAGGCTTGGGAGTCCTTTCAGTCTGTGAATAAAGCTAAAGTACACCATATATACATACAGTTTGTAAATGCTTTTGAGCCCGACTTACCTTGATATTCTATTATCTGACCAGCTGAAAATAATTTGTCGACCCCGTGGAAACATAATTCACAGGATCACCGTGCCAGCCCATTCCCTGAAAACACTTGGAAACGACCCACTCTAGAAAAAATAATAATTAAATAAAATGGCCGATAAATTATGAATAAGCCGAGTCAAAAAGATGTGATTTCAGGTTTTTTTTTAAAGAGGGAGAGATGGCGATTCGCGTATATGTACAGGCAGATCATTCCATAATTTTGGAGCAGCAACAGAAAAGGCTCTTTTCACCATACGTTTTCAGTCTGCAAGGAGGTACAAACAGAATTGATGAACTTCCTGTTGACCTCTGGGACCGTGTGCATGCGCATGTGCTTGATCGAAGTTTCATCAGATCGGAAATGTAATACCTTCACTATTTTACAGTAATTAAAAAATAATATTCTAAAGCTTCACTATTTTACAGTAATGCAAATAACAAATTCAAACGACACCAATAATGCAAAATATGAGATGTCACTCAACTCAACCTACCTTAACTCTCTTCAACTTGTACCAGTACGTGTTATAGCTTGCTGGTCTTGCCGAAATGCGTCATGTTCTTTGTCTGGTTTAGAGTTCGTTCAATCTGATTTTATATATCATGAAGTACAATAGATATTCAGTTAGTAAATATCAATATCAAATCACAACAATGTTAAAGAAACATTAACAATAAAATAAAATACGAGTTGCCACTCAACCTACCTTATCTATTCTCTTTCTGTACTTGTAGCTCTATTGCTGCAATTGTCTACTTTTTCGTGCTTGGGAGCCCTTTCAGTCTTTGAATAAAGCTAAAGTAAATCAGATACACAGTTCGTAAATGCTTTACCCGAAATATTCTAATATCTTGTCAGCTGAAATATCAATTGCAGTCCCAGTCTGAAATGACGTCGCAATGTCATCAACATATCAAATACGAACTGTACTGTGTAGAGGAAATTCATGTACATATTCCATTTTCAAAAATGACAGTTTGTAGGCCTACCCAAAAATATTCTGCCGTTTAATTTGCAGTAACCTAAACAGAAATTGAAACATGAACAATGTAATGATAATAGCACATAATACGAGTTGTCACTTAACTTACGTACCTTAACTCTTTTTCTCCCGTCTTGCTGCAATTGCCACCATGATTTTTTTTTCTGGTTTGGAGTTTTTTCAATCTGAAATATTACGAAGTTCACTTAATATTCAGTTCGTATATATCTATATTAAATCACAATAATGCTTTTAAAAAACTTGAAACATTAACAATACAATAATAGCACAAAATGTGATTTGCACTCAACATACCTTAACTCCCATCTTCCTGTACTTGTAGCTCTTTTGCTGCAATTGTCTACTTTTCAGGATTTAGAGTTCTTTCTGTCTGTGAATAAAGCTAAAGCACACCATATACACATACAGTTTGTAAATGCTTTTTAGCACGACTTACCTTGATATTCTATTATCTTACTAGCTGAAAAAAAAATTGTCGCTCGTATTCGCTGCAATTGTCTACCATGTTCATTTTATCTGAATAATTATATGTAAAGCACACCAGATACAGTTGGTGATGCATTTTTACTCTACCTACCTTAATATTTTACATCTTTGCGGTTGATTGTCAATTGCTGTCCCTAGTTTCATCCGTCGTGGCAATGCAAGTCATACCGTCATACGAAATACAAACTTTACTGTGTAAGGGAAAAACGTATATTCATACTACTTAAATTAACAAACAAATAATATTCTACAGCTTTAATCAATCAATCATTGGATTTATAAGGCGCATAATACAGCAGTATTACAACAGCGCCAATAAAAAAAGACCAATGAAAGTGTAGCAAGCATGCGAAGTGGGTGCGAGACCAGGTGCCGTTAGGGAAGAGTCAGTGTGCCGTTCTTCCACACTTGGAGGGCCAGCCGACCGACCCCGCGTAAACATAATTCACAGGATCACCGTGCCAACCCATTCCCTGACAACACCTGGAAACGACCCACTCTAGAAAAAAATAATAATTAAATAAAATGGCCAATAAATTATGAGTAAGCCGAGTCAAAGAGATGTAATTTCATTTGTTTTTTTTTTTGTTTTTTTTTTTTTTAAAGAGGGAGAGATGGCGATTCGCGTATATGTACAGGCAGATCATTCCATAATTTTGGAGCAGCAACAGCAAAGGATCTTTCACCATACGTTTTCAGTCTGCAAGGAGGTACAAACAGAATTGAAGAACTTCCTGTTGATCTCTGGGACCGTGTGCATGCGCATGTACTTGATCGAAGTTTGATCAGATCGGAAATGTAAGTTGGAAATGTAATACCTTCACTATTTTACAGTAATTAAAAAATAATATTCTACAGCTTCACTATTTTACAGTAATGCAAATAACAAATTTAAACGACACTAATAGTGCAAAATATGAGATGTCACTCAACTCATCCTACCTTAACTCTCTTCAACTTGTACCAGTACGTGTTATAGCTTGCTAGACTTGCCGAAATGCGTCATGTTCTTTGTCTGGTTTAGAGTTCGTTCAATCTGATTTTATATATCATGAAGTACAATAGATATTCAGTTAGTAAATATCAATTTCAAATCACAACAATGTTAAAGAAACATTAACAATAAAATAAAATACGAGTTGCCACTCACCCTACCTTAACTATTCTCTTTCTGTACTTGTAGCTCTATTGCTGCAATTGTCTACTTTTTCGTGCTTGCGAGCCCTTTCAGTCTTTGAATAAAGCTAAAGTAAACCAGATACACAGTTCGTAAATGCTTAACCCGAAATATTCTAATATCTTGTCAGCTGAAATATCAATTGCAGTCCCAGTCTGAAATGACGTCACAATGTCATCAACATATCAAATACGAACTGTACTGTGTAGAGGAAATTCATGTACATATTCATACTAATTCCATTTTCAAAAATGACAGTTTGTAGGCCTACCCAAAAATATTCTGCCGTTTAATTTGCAGTAACCTAAACAAAAATTTAAACATTAACAATGTAATGATACACACATAATACGAGTTGTCACTTAACTTACGTACCTTAACTCTTTTTCTCCCGTCTTGCTGCATTTGCCACCATGATTTTTTTCTGGTTTGGAGTTCTTTCAATCTGAAATATCACGAAGTTCACTAGATATTAAGTCCGTATATATCTATATTAAATCACAATAATGCTTTTAAAAAACTTGAAACATTAACAATACAATAATAGCACAAAATGTGATTTGCACTCAACATACCTTAACTCTTCTTCCTGTACTTGTAGTTCTTTTGCTGCAATTGTCTACTTTTCAGGATTTAGAGTTCTTTCAGTCTGTGAATAAAGCTAAAGCACACCATATATACATACAGTTTGTAAATGCTTTTTAGCCCGACTTACCTTGATATTCTGTTATCTTACTAGCTGAAAAAAAAAATTGTCGCTCGTATTCGCTGCAATTGTCTACAATGTTCATTTTATCTGTGCATAATTATATGTAAAGCACACCAGATACAGTTGGTAATGCTTTTTTACTCTACCTACCTTAATATTTTACATCTTTGCGGTTGATTGTCAATTGCTGTCCCTAGTGTCTTCCGTCGTGGCAATGCAAGTCATACCGTCATAAATACAAACTTTACTGTGTAAGGGGAAATCATATAATCTGCCGTTTAATTTGCAATAACCTAAACAGAAATTTAAACATTTAATATTTTAATGTTAAGTAGCTTACCTTTTTCTGCTTTTAAGCTCTTTCAATCTGAATATCTAAGGTACACCACGAGACCATACCTTAATATTCTATTGAAATATCTATTGTGTACCAACTTGTTCTCGTTTTGAGTTCTTTTAATTAAATATTACGCTAGAAACAAATAGTAAATATTTTTACTCAATGTACCTTAATTCATCATCTTAGTTAAAATATCGATTTATAGGCATAACAAATAATATTCTACAGCTTCACAGTAATGCAAATAACAAATTCACACGGTACCATATTGTAAAATATGAGATGTCACTCAACCTACCTACAACTTGTACTTGTAGCTCTTTTTCTGCAACTGTTTACCATGATTTTGTTTTTCTGGTTTTGGGGTTATCTCAATCTGAATAATATATTACGAAGTACACCAGATATTCAGTTAGTAAATATTAATATTAAATGACAATAATGTAAAGAGAAGGACGAAACCGAAGAACTCTGGGAAAACCACAAGACAGATATACCTCAACAATTGAATTATTATCATCATTATCAGTTGAATTATTATTATAATCATTATTAATTGCCATTTAAAATTAATTTTATATGAACATGATAAAAACAAAAATGAATATTGTATAAAGGAAACCGAAGAACTCTGCGAAAACCACTAGATAGATATACCTCAACAATTGAATTATTATTATTATCAGTTAAATTATTATTATTATAATCATCATTAATTGCCATTTAAAATTAATTTTATATGAACATGATAAAAACAAAAATGAATATTGCATGAAGGAAAAAAAGCAAAGTAGGAAGGTACCATTTTCTCGGTTTCTAATACTATGCTTACATAACCTACCTATACTTACTCTACATATCTGGGATAGAGAAAGGTACCTTTAAGAAATAGAGTACAGAAATGACGAAATATGAAGTGACAATTGTAGACAATGAAATTGAAGCACTATAAATGGTATCATTCCTCTTATTTACCCTAATTACTTATATCCTTAATTACCTACTCTAATCACCTACGCTAATTGGATGCCTACAACCACCACTAAGGGACACCATGCAAAGAGGAAGATACCATTTACAGTTAGAAAATTTAGTTAGAAAAAGAATTGAGTGCAATTTGTATGATATAATGCATGAGAATAAATTATTTTAATTTTTATTTTATAATTATATAGCATTTTATAGGTATTTTATAAATTAAATGTAACTGATGAGGTATAAATTTACAAAGAAAATAACATATCGCATAATAGTGTTTCTGCTGTTGGCTACATCTCTTAGTCTTGCAAGATCTTTCTTTCAGGCTGGTCGGATGTGAATTGAAATGCTGACCCAAGTCGGATCTGACGTCACAATGGCAACTGTATCTTTGTAAATGAAAATCATAAACATTCACTATATTTTCATTAAATCAAAGAGAAAAACAAAACAAAACCCATCTAAGAATAAAAAGAAATTGTTAAGGGCCGACAAAACAAGCTTAATAGAACAGACGACTGTTCTATTATTATTATTATTATTATTATTAGTATTATTATTTAAGGTAGGCCTAAAATATGGTTTGCGCAGGTTAAGAAGACCCAAGCAAAACGGACGCACGAGCCCCAACCTCAAGTCTAAAGGCCACAAATGCTGCGTCAGCATTACTGGCGGTAAAAGTAAATTTAAAGTATTTTGGAAAATATCCAAATCATTTGAAATGGATGGCTCATATAAATTTTCAGTTTCAGTTGTACGAGTTGAGTTAAAAAGGTTACAAGATGACAACAATGCAAACAGAACTTCATAAAAAAAAAACCCAATTACAAATGCAAAATAAATCAAATCAAATGCTGTACGAATAGGTTATAAGTGTGTGAGGCAAATAAAAGGGCGATGTAACAACATTTAAAATACTGAAATCTACTAGATGATCCATACAACACTATATAAAATACAAAATATTTTACAAATGCCGTTACCCAAGTTGAATACGAGTTGGGTGAAACAAATTAAATGGCGGTACAACATTATCTAAAATATTTTAAATAATGCTGCATCAAAATGTACTAGGCCTAGTACCTGTCACATAGTGTATAATCATGTTGTTAGCGTTAAGCAAGAATATATTTAATACGTCCTTGCGTTAACACATTACAATGTAGGTTAAAAGATAAATAAGATTAGTAAATTAGTACAACAAACTTTAAAATATATAGGAACCGAAAATTTCAAACCAAACAGGGCCAGTAATTTTAAATTTACCATCAACAAATCAACAATTGTCAATCTTCTCAAGAAATTCGGGCTCGCAAATAATGGCGCTTCTTTTGCCGCTATTATACATGCGCTGGGTTTCATCGAAATATTATTTTCAAAGCAACAATAGGCCTATTGATGCTATCCTAAATATACAATGAACACTTGTGGACTAAACATAATGTTGCCATATAAATTTTAATTGATTTTAATACTTATCGTAAAAAAGTTCCCTGAGACGATTGCGTTCCGTTGTAGTCGGCATGGCTGCGGCCAACGAAATCGTCTGGTCAGAAACCTTTGTTTAAACGCTGTCTCCAAAGCATTCATGCATGGTTGTGCATAATAATGTAACAGGTGAACTGGAACAGTAGATTTTCAACAATACATTACTTGATGCCCCTTGGTAAACTTTATTTATAACCATGATGTGTGGTTTTTCTTATTATTCTTTTTTCTTTTTTTTTTTTATTGTGGAATCGAATATTTCGTCTTGTCCTCAAGACTTCAATAATGAAACAAGTGAACTTTGAGAATAGATTTACAATACACTACTTGATGTCCATTTAGTAAACTTAAATTATAACCACGATGTGCGGTTTTTCTTATTCTTTTTTTTTTTAATCCTGGAAAGGAATTTTTCGTCAATTCATCTGCGCAACTGTGTTTAATATAGACATATATA